GGGAGAGGGAGAAGCAGGCCTTCGGCAGAGCAGGGAGCCTGATGCGGGGCTCAATTCCAGGACCCTGAGATCATGACCTGAGCTGAAGGCAGATGCTTAACGACTGAACCACCCAGGTGCCCTGAGGATTAACTTTTTAAAAAGATTGTTTACATTTCTATCTCCTCTGGAATATTTTTCTGTAAAAGGTGAAGCTATTACTATTTTTACTTTTATTCCTGGGTCATGCCTTTCTGCAAGGCCAAAACCAAATTTGGGGCCTTATTGATGATGTGAGCCCTTAAGAGTTTCTGAGATGGCCTTTCTATTAGAGCCGCTAGGACAGCAGGAGGATCTTCTTTACCTAATGAAGATTTTATAGAAAACAATTCTACCCTAGTGCTTTCAGAAATACAAAGGGGATATAGAGTTTTTTTCTTCTTGACACAACTCATGAAGTAGTGGGGGAAAGCAGAAGCCTGTTTTCAAACCAGAACGTTTTTCAAATTGTTCCTGGTTTTTGGATTCTGACTTCATCTGTCACTTTCAATGGAGTCCTTGAGGATGTCCTTCTTCTAGGATAGTGGCCAGTGAGTGGTTCAGTCAGAAGGGGCTCAGGAATGTTTTGCCAGGAATTTTCTTTTATTCAATTCTACTTACTGTTGACTTCTAGAGGAAAGGGGTAAGTATTCTAAGGCAGTGGCTTTCAAACAGTTTTCTGAGACACTGTTTCTCATACTGGCCCAGATTTCTGCTTTTTGCGGGGCACAGGGAGGGGATTAGAGGTTTTGGAACACAGGGCATGAGAGTGTTCACGGCAATGACTGGCAGAAGCTGAATGGGGGATGCAGACTTTGGATAGGCATGTCTTTTCTGGTTTACCACGGTTCCACCCCAACCTGACACTGGGGCACCATTTGCCTTTGCAACCCTTGCTTGGGCTTTCCCGGAACCCTGAGAGTTCTTCGAGAGATTGAAAGACCACAGCGCCCTCTAGTGCTAGCTGTGGAGCAGATCTTCAAAAGGACAGAGTCTTACAACTTGAGTTTTACCTCAGGGTTTTCTTTTATACACCGATGTGAAGAGGGTTATTTATATAATCGGTTCCTGAGCTCACGCTGTGTTCTCATTGCCTCTCCAAATGTTGCAATACATGGGGCTCCCCACCACCATGAGGTATGTGTGGAATTTACAACTCCTAATGTGTCTGCTCCTGTCTCTCCTTGGAGCACAACTCTGGAAAAAACTCTGGTAACCCTGTAGTTCCAGTTAAATATAAAAATAAACTCTAATTTTTTTTTTAAAAGGGAAAAATAGGTTCCATGTTTTCATTTGGTCTCTCAGATTTAAAAGGTTTATTCTAGAGTAAAGTGGGTGGAGTGGCGAGAAGAAACAGGCCACATTCGGATTTCCTGGTATAGGACATTGGCCTGCCCTTGCTCTTCCACAGTGGGGCGCTGGCATCAGGGGAGGGCTTCCCTAGCCCAGTCTCAGTGTCTACCAGCAAGGAGAGGCTAACCAGGAAAACTGATTTTGTTGCAGAGCAGCAAGACCACGTAGTGATTTCTTCCTGTACTTTACCCAACCCCAACTCTGCTTCAAGGTAGAAAACCAGATTGTGCAAACCCTGCTGAGGCTAATGTTGAAGAATCTGAACCAACTCTCCTGATAAAACCCGAAGATATTGTCTTAAAAGAACCAGGGAGCTCAGGAAAGACCCTCCGGACACTTCCGAGGCCAAGTGATACAGTTTCTAATCACTATAAGACAACTTCTTCTGAGATCAGTGCGGTTGTAGGAGCTGTTCCTTCTACTTGTGAGTATGTCACATTATTTGCTGAGTTTTAAAAGTAAGATCAGCAAACATAGAAGTGTCCTTTGTCTGTTCTTGTATTGTCCCCAGCCTCTATCTTCATTAGGCTGTTTCTCAAAGCCTAGGACACCTTTCATTCAGTTCTGTATTTGAACCATCCAGGAGGTCTCGATAAATGTAGGCTAAACTGAACTATTGTTAATGATGACCCAAGTAAAATGATTCTCTCAATATTAATGAAATTGATCTATGATGATCAGAACATTGAATGTTACACAGACTACACCAAGTGTTAGGAGATTCATAAGCCATCTTATTCTTAGCTACAAGCAGATTACCTTCAAATATTTGAAGAGCTTTTGCAGAACTATTCTCTGTATCTTCATTCTCCATTTGTTAGTTTGCTAGGGCTGCCATAACAAGTACCACAAACTGGATGGCTTAAACAACAGAAATTTATCATCTTATGGTTCTGGAGGCTGAAAGTCTGAGGCCAGGGTATTTGGCAGGGTTGGTTCCTTCCGGGACTGTGAGGGAGAATCTGTTCCAGGCCCCTCTCCTAGATTCTGGTGCGTTGCTGACAATCTTTGGTGTCCCTTTGCTTCTGCTGCATCACCCTGATCTCTGCCTTCACCTTCACATGGTGTCCTCCTGTGTGAGAGTCTGGGTCCAAATGGCCCCTTTTATAGGGACTCCCAGTCACACTGGATTAGCGGCCTACTCTATCTACTCTAGTATGACTTCATCTTAACTTAATTAATTACAAATGCAATGACTCTTTTCCTTTTAAGATTTTTTATTTTTAAGTTATCTCTACACCCGATATGGGGCTCTAACTTACAACCTCAAGATCTAACAACTGAGCCAGCCAGGCACCCTGCAATGGCTCTGTTTTTAAATAAAGTCACATCTGAGGTACTGGTGGTTAGGATTTTAACATACAATCTGGGGGAGAATATGGTTCAACTCATAACACCTCATATCTCATTATTGAGCATGATCACTCTTGGTTAGTTAGAGACTATTTTATGTGGGTTAAGATCACTTCCTTAGACTAAGGACATGATTAAGGATTTAGGTATTTTTCTTAACTGGATTTTATAGACATGCTGTTTATATTCTGGTATAATGAGCTCTTGCTACTCCCTTTAGAATAGTGCTGTCCAACAGAAATATAATTGGAGTTATATGTATTTAAAAATTTTTAGTAGCTACATTAAGAAAAAGAAACAGGTGAAATTATTTTTTATAGTATATATACTTTATATATAATATATAGATCTTCCCAATATTTTTTCAACAATTAATCAATATAAAATGATTAAATATTCCACTTTTTTGAGGGTACGAAATCTTTGAAGTTCAGTGTGTATTTTATACTTACATCGCATCTCAGTTTGGACTAGTCCCATTTCAAGTATGTACTTGATTGCCACATGTGGCTGGTGGCTACTGTATTTTACAGTTCAGTTTTAGAATGGCTGCTTTCCTTTCTCATTGGTGTCCTAGGTTATCCCATCTATGGTGTTCCAACCATTCGGTCTGATATTCCTGCCCCCCGAATTCGTCGCGTCAGTGATAGAACTAATTATGGTGAAGAGGGCAATGCCTATTCGTTACTACATCCTTCCATCTTTAGCCAGAAAGGAGTGTTTGAAAGAGACTTCTTTAAGACCAGATCAAAAAAAGAGGTACAGCATATTATTTCAAAGGAGTTGAAAGAAATGTCAACTTCACATAAACACACAAAGATGAAAATGTTTATTTATCAACAGCTATTTAATTTTAGACTGTTTAAAACATGAGTTTTGATATTACAAAAGTCATCAGGATCCTCAAATACAGGATTCTTGAGGATAACATTCAGTTTGGTTGTGACGTTTTGGTACGATTCTTGGAGCAGTTTTTCTTCTATGATAGGAAACATTAATTCACATCATATATCCACTACGACCCATGTATGAAAAGAAAAATGTTTCCCTAAGGAACTCAACACTATTCTTAGTTGAGAAAAAGCAAAAGGGATCAATCCCTTCCTTGTGTAAGTATCTCATGGTTTTATATCTCCAAAACCAAAGGTAAGTATGAGAAGGACCACTCTGCCCCCTCCTTATGTACTGCTGCTATCTTATGTCTTAGATTATCTGTGAAAGCACTGATTTAAAATATTCTGTCCTGGTGCCACACCATTTGTTAGCCCATGTATCTTGTTTTTGTTTGTTAGAAAACATGGTCCTCATATTCTAGGTGATTTTCTTCCTAGATGGGTTATAAAACAGCAGCAACCAGCTAGATCAGAATAGCCACTGGGATTCTAAGGGCCAAGGATTAATAGCAATGCTTGGCCAGCCTGTCTTGATCTGGACTCGTAGAATGCAGGGTGTAATCTAGGGTGCAACTGCTTCTTCAGAATTTTCATATCCAGAACTAGGAATGATTGAGGAGACATAATTAGACATATGATGGCTTCTGTAACTTCAGATGAAGAGTTGATGGTTTGAAAACTTACTAACTACTACCTTAATTACAACAGGTTCATTCCAGCATTTCATCCCCACTGAGGTAGGGGACAGAAGGAAGAAGGGAGATGAAACTCAGAGGAGATGCCTGCTGGCTGCTCCCAAAGAAAGAACTCAGGGTCCACCCCAGGGACAGTGAAGGGACACCCCCAGATGGTTTCACTTCCCTTAATTACTCTGAAGGCCCTATGAAATAGAAGTACAGTGATGGGGTAGCCCGGTGATGGGTAATAAGGAGGGCACACGTGTTGTAATGAGCACTGGGTGTTACATGCAATTAATGAATCATGGAACACTACATCCAAAAAAAAAAAAAGAGAGAGAAAAGTACAGGGTTGCCAAAAGAAACAAAAACCTCCTGCTTGTTGCATGATGCCTAAAATTCTTTTAACTAGGAAATCATCCTTTAACTCTAGAAAAAAAGAAAGAGCCCAAATGAGTGGTTGGAGTAATAATGCTAATTTGAGAGTGGATGGGCTTCTGGAAAATATTAGCAAATCAGTGTATTGTGATGGAATAGGGAACTATGGGAGGGATGCCTCCTGAGGAGTGGGAAAGGAAGTGGAGGCGGAGGGCTGGGATGCTCAAGACTGACCCAGGGCACTTCCAGAGTTCACTCTGTGGGAGCAGTCATTACCTGCCACTGGATGGGGGGAAATCACAGCTCTGCACAGGGGCCCTGAGGTATTTTTGCTGTACAATCGCAGCTGTTGGCAGCTCTGCTCTTCTGAATTTCAAATGTATTTGATTATATTGTTAATTTCCCATGAGGGCACATCATTTCTAGGGGATCTTTTAATTGTTAAGATTCTGTTTCATAGATGTATTCTGCGACTCTTCTGTTTCTTTGGATTTCCTATTCGCTGTCTAACCTTTCTTTCCATTTCCCTCTTGGCTTTTTTTCTGTATGCCTCACAGTAAATGCTTTTCCTCTTTTAAATTTAGTTTTGGGGCACCGGCATGGCTTAGTTGGTTAAGCGTCTGTCTTGGGCTCAGGTCATGATGCCCGGGGTCCTGGAATCGAGCCCCCCCCACATCGGGCTCCCTGCTCATCGGGGAGTCTGCTTCTCCCTCCACCCCTCCCTCCTGCTCATGCTCTCTCTCACTCTGTCTCGCTCGAATAAATAAATTTTAAAAATCTTAAAAAAAATAAATTTAGTTTCATTTTTTTTTTTCAAGTCTTTTATGTCCTCTACTCATTCTCACATTTCTTTCCACTGCTAGATCTTATCTTTCCTTTCTTAAATTTTCCCTGGGACATAAGAAACATGTTTTCCCATAATAATTATCATTGCAGAGAGATTACTAATAACCAAAATTTGCTGGTTTTCAATATGCTTAGATTTTAGTTTGCTCATGCATGCTCAATCTTTCTGGCACTTGCACACCTACAACTATAAAGTTTATAACAGGCCAGTAAGAGACATTTATAAATAATCATATTTTAGAGAAGAGAAACTAATTTTCCATCAATGACAGAAGAGCCATTAGTTTTGATATCTTCCTATGGCCATGACAAGAAGTGAGATAGGATTCAAATCCAGCAAGTCTTCTTTCTTTAACTTTTTTACTCTTTCTGCTTGAATTTAGCTGCCTCCCTTTAAAATAACCAGAAACACTTAAAGAGTTGGAAGTCCTTTTATATATGGGCTAGTATAGGTGAATATCCTCATATTCATATTAACAAAATGATTCCTGAATTGAAAATACTGGAATTTTGACATCTTATTATTATAAGTAATAGGCACACACATAAACACACGTGTGGGTACACACTTTTTTTGGGGGATAAATAGCCATAGCCTTAGAAGTTATAAAAATATTTTTATTTTTATATATTTATTTTTTGAAGATTTTATTTATTCATTTGACAAAGAGAGACACAGCAAGAGAGGGAACACAAGCAGGGGGCGTGGGAGAGGGAGAAGCAGGCTTCCTGCAGAGCAGGGAGCCCGATGCGGGACTCGATCCCAGGACCCTGGGATCACGACCTGAGCCAAAGGCAGACGCTTAACAATTGAGCTACCCAGGCACCCTATAAAGATATTTTAAAAATACAAATTTAAGTCTTAGTCTGACTTTAAATGTTTTTTTCCCCCTAGATTGCAGAGATATTATATAATATTGGTGTCAAGCTTTCTGATGAAGAATTTGAAAATGTATGGAATCTTGCATCAAAAAAACATCACAAAGGAGAAGTTTGTGTTGAGACCATCAGAAACATTCTGGATGAGCTACAACATGCAGACCGGGTCAAGTGTAAAACAGCCACGTGATACTTTTGGAGTTCGTTCATTTAAACAAAAGAATTGTTAAATCTGCATTCATCAAAAATGATCAGTCCATTCTGGTTTTAAATATTACATTAGAATTCAGCAATCACTGTAGTAGGACTCCTATGCCTGTGTGTGTTGTTAATAAATTTGATTTGGGATTTTAAGATTTATTTTATTGTTTTCTGTAAAACACCAAAGAACTTCATAAGCGGTTAGAGTTAACTTTTTACCTTACCAAAGGCCTAGTTCAGAATGATAGGGGATGTTTGTAATGTTTGTAATGTTTAGAATGCTTAAGAAGTGTATGCATTTAATTTTTTTTAAAAGATATTATTTATCTATTTGTCAGAGAGCACAAGCAGGGGGAGCGGCAGGCAGAGGGAGAAGCAGGCTCCCCCCTGAGCAGGGAGCCTGATGCAGGGCTCGATCCCAGGACCCTGGGATCATGACCTGAGCTGGAGGCAGACGCTTAACTGACTGAGCCACCCAGGTGTCCCATAAGTCTATGCATTTTAGTTGGTTGACTGAAATTCAAAGTCTAGTTTGTGATACCAGGTTGACAAAATTTTGCTTTCAACCTTTTGTTATTTTTCTTTTTAGGTGTCACTATAACAGAACATAATAAGCTTAGCAAGCTTTCAGTCTCTGTTAACATCTGAGGAAAACAAATACATACAGGGAGCAGGATTCAGAGAACAAAAGCTGGAGTTCCATCAATGACAGAAGAGCCATTAGTTTTGATATCTTCCTATGGCCATTTACAGCAGCATTATCAATAATAGCTTTAGCTATGGGAACAGCACAAGTGTCCATCAACTGATGAATGGATAAAGAAGATGTGGTGTATATACATATATGCAATGGAATAAAAAAGAATGAAATCTGGGGCGCCTGGGTGGCTCAGTTGGTTAAGCGACTGCCTTCGGCTCGGGTCATGGTCCCAGGGTCCTGGGATCGAGTCCCACGTCGGGCTCCCTGCTCCGCGGGAAGCCAGCCTGCTTCTCCCTCTCCCACTCCCCCTGCTTGTGTTCCCTCTCTCGCTGTGTGTCTCTCTCTCTCAAATAAATAAATAAAATCTTTAAAAAAAAAAAAAAGGATGAAATCTTCCCATTTGCAACGATGTGGATGGAACTAGAGGGTATTAAGTCAATAAGAGAAAGACAATTATCATATGATCTCACTGATAAGTGGAATTTAAGAAACAAAACAAACAAGCACAGGGAGAAAAAGGGAGAAGCAAACCAAGAAACAGACTCAGCTATAGAGAGCAAACTGATGGTTACCAGAGGGGAGGTGGGTGCGGAGATGGGTTAAATATGTGATGGGGATTAAGGCGTGCGCTTGTGGTGATGGGCACTGGGTGTAATATGTAAGTGTTGAATCACTAAATTGTACACCTGAAATCAAGATTGCATTGAATGTTAACTAACTGGAATTTAAATAAAAACTTAAAAAAAAATCTATCTCCCTATGGCCAAAAAAGCATATTGTCCTTAAAGAGGACACAGCTGACCCACCATGACATGTAGCTTCAGAGATTATTAGGGGCAAATTGTGTTGAATCATTCCCTCCCTTGTGCCATGGCCCTCTGATGCCCCGGCCTGGATGAGGTGTAGGGATGATGGGAGGGTGTGACCTCAACATAGTGTGTTCTTTCTATTACATCAGAAGCACCAGGTGTGGGTTGAAGCCAGCACTGAAGCTTGATCAGTAATATAACTTGGTTAACATGTATTCTATCAATGTTTCTCTGTGATAGACCTTGAATTTTGTTTCTTGTTGTCTATTAGTATGAAAAATTACTGTTTAACTTAGATATTATGGTTATAATGTAGTCTACCATTACTTATAAGAGAGAGAGACCTAAGGTTTAAAAATGCTTTACCCAATCTCTAGAAAAAGTAATTTTATAATTCATTTATTATATAGGTAATTTATACTTGTCAAAAATTTTAACTTTTTATTTTGAAATAATTTCAGACTTACAGATTTACAAAAGTAGTACAAAGCATCATGAAGTGGTGTGCTAGAACCACTGTTAATGGTTCACTCTAGTCAATTGTGAGCATTTCTTCTCACTGCTGCATCCAGTGACTCCACATTGATGGTTTGAAACTACCTACAGTGGGAGTATTTACACTAAGGAAACAAACAAATGCTATGGATCATGGATTTTTCCCCTATTAAGAGCCAGTTATTAAACATTTATAAACACATTATCTTTCTCTCTATCATCTATCTATCTATCTATCTATCTATCTATCTATCTATCTATCATCTATCCTTCTGTGTCTGTCCTTACTCAGCCTGAATTGCTCAGTTTTAGTAAGAATCCTGCTAAGTCTAGAGTGAATCCTCCTACCCTTGATATCTGACTACCCTCCCTACCTTGATATCTGATCAAATTCCTCATCCCGCATCTTTGATGTATAAAACCTTGGCCTGCCTTTAGCAAAAATTCTTGTTAAGTCTGTTTAGCAAGAACGACTGCCCTCTGTGACCCCACGGCGCTCCTGTGGGGTGAGGGTGTCCTGGGAACTCAGGAGGCTGCAGGGCAACCTCCCTACCCTTGATGTCTTCTTTTAATAATTTTCCATGCACCGACCTCCCCAGCCTGCTCCTTGACTATAAATACCAACTTTTCCTTGTTATGTTCAGAATTGAGCCCAGTTCTTTACTGAGGTCTCTCTTCCCCTGTTGCAGTAGTTCCTGAAGAAAACCTGTCTTCTACTGCTTTGACTACTGTCCAGCTCTGTTTTCTTCAACTCTGTCCATCCATCCATCCACCTACCCACCCAACTGCACATGCACACTGTACTTCCAAGTACTTCAGTGTGTCTTTCCTGAAAACAAAGGTATTCTACTAGCCAACTATAGTGTGATTTTCAAAATCAGGAAATTATTATTACTATGGCATTATTATCGAATCTATAGACCTTATTCAAATTTCTCCCCAAATTCTTTATGATGCTAATGTTTTTTACAGTGAAAAAATTGTTTCTTGGTCTAGCTTTGATCCAATCAATAATCACATGCTGCATTTAGTTGTTATGTCTCTTTAGTTTCCACTAATCTGAAATAATTCTGTCTTTAAGCTTCATGACCCTTGATGTAATCCAAGCCTCTAAGGACTAGAGGTGCTGTAGGCGCTACATCACAGCCTATTGTCAATATTCTCTTGTGAGTAGGCTCCTGCAGTCTTGTGCCCAAGACTGTTTCCATTGCTTCTTGGGTTGGAGTTGCTTTGGATTCAGAAACCTGCATTCTGTGAAGGTTTCTTTTTCCCGTGAATTAAATCATCAGAGTCAAAGTGGGGCATGTGGTTGGAGTGATCCTTGAGCCACATGAATCCAAGTTAAGCTGATAGATAATTTGCTCCCTGCCCTTGAATGCAAGATAGCTTTGATGGACCTGGTGATGCCTATCTGGGTAAGTGTTATTTAAAACCTTGAGCCTCAGAGGGTGCTTGGGTGGCTCAGTTGGTTAAGCATCTCTCTTGGTCTCAGTTCAGGTCTTGATCTCAGGGTCATGAGTTCAAACCTGGGTTGGGCTTTGTGCTGGATGTGGAGCCTACTTAAAAAAAAAAAGCAAAAAGAAAAAAAAAAGCTAGAGCCTTACGATAAAAGCATCTGAATTGACTTATGGATTAAAAGTTTCACTACCTAATGTCCCAAAGGGTTTATATACATGGAAAGACTCTCTTTTCTAGAATTGAATCCTTGCCTTACTTGTTTCTCACTGGGCCTTGGCAATCCGTTATTGGCCGAGGCCAGAACCACTCACAAGTACAGTTAGTATTGTAACTGAAATGTACAGTCAGGTTGCAGCAGGCTGTACTCTGAGGCTGCCTCTGCTATTACAGGCCTGCTGGCTGGGGTTGACTTGCCAGATGTCTGGCTGAGAGCACCTCCATGGCTTGTGGTATCACCAAGATCCCCTCATAGCTTTATAAAGATTGTCTTTCCTAACATCGGAGCAGTTAGAAACTTTCCAGTTTATCTTTTGTGAAAGCCAACATTTCCTGTTTACTGTATACACAGTACTGTCACTAAAGAAGCAGCCCTGTTTGTTTATTTATTTACAGCTCATGAGGAGGGGCAGAGACAGAGGGAGAGAGAGAATCTTAAGCAGGCTCCATGTCCAGCATGGAGCCCAACGTGGGGTTTGATCTCACGACCCTGAGATCATGACCTGAGCCAAAATCAAGAGTCAGATGCTTAACCAACTAAGCCACCCAGGGGCCCCAAGAAGAAGCCTTTAAAGACCTCTGGGAAGATGGCAGAGTAGGAGGCTAGGGTCACCTCGTCTCAGTTCCACAGACACACCTAGAAATAACCACATGAGTTCCAGCAACTCAGAAAATGACCTGAAGAGTGGCAGAACAAACTTACCAAAGTTAATCATAGGAGGCCATATCGAACAGGGTAGGAGGGGTAGAGACTGTTGGGAACCAAACTCCCAGGGAGACTAACCACATGGGAGGGACACCACAAGCACAGAGAAGCAAGAGAAGACAACCCACACCTGGCAAAACAGGCACCCCCCACATGAGAGACCTTCACTGGGAAGACTAATTCCCATAACATTGACTTTGAAAACCAGTGGGGCTTAACTCCAGGTACTTTAAAAATCAGCGGGCTTGCCTCTGGGAGAGCCAAAGGGCAATAAGAAACAGTCATCACCCATAAGAGACAGCAAAACAAACACCCCCGCCCCCCATCTTCCCCACCTACACACACAGGGAGATAAGAATAGAAGCAGCAGTTTGAAAAGCACCTGGACTGTAGGTAGAGGTTTGTTTGTTTGTTTTTGTTTTTGTTGGTTTGTTTATTAAGAGGATTTATATACTAATCTTAGAATGTGTGCTGGAGAGGCAGAGATCTTTAGGAGACTTCTCCAAGAACAAAAGAGCTGGTGGATGCTATTTCCCTCTCTAGTCCCCAGCCTAGGTAGTTGGATACCTGTGGGAACCATGCAAACACTACCTACCTTGGTAACACTGTGTGCCCCTGTGTTCTCCTGTGGATCCACCCCATCCA